ATAATGAAGGTTTTTATGTCATATCATTGGATGAAATACACAATAAAGACTACAAACATCTTAATTGTGAGCTAATAATACATTCAACTCATCCCCCGAGCAGTCGAGAGGATGTCATGGATTTAAAGGGGAGAGAAAAACTTGTTGGGATTGTATGTGAGATTTCACGGCCCACACTGTATTCAACACTTCAACACAATTTATTACTTTAAACACAATATATCTCCTCATATGATATGCCGATTGATTGGGTGTCTGTCTTGAGATCTCACTTTGCGTGACCTCTAACTGACGCCTACGCGAAGGCATTCGCATACCTATCGACCAATACTCTCAGCATTTGATCATTAATTTTATTTTATTGAATAATCATTTGATTTATTTGAATTGTTACGTTCATTGAATGAGCGTTTGTTGCGTTCAGTTATTAAAACTTTCCTTCTTATCCCTCTCTTACGTGAATGTGTTTTAGTATTGAAACCCAATTGTGGACCAAATCATGGACGAGACGACGAAAGAGAGTCAAAATTGCGATAAGTCTTCTGTTGTGCTCAAAGAGAAACAACAGGCGATGAAAGAGCAGTCCGGGAACGGGAATCCCGTCACCCCGAAGATCAAGATTCCCCGGTCCAGGAATGAGAGCACCAGTAGTGACGAGAATCTACACAACACAACCATCACCGACGCGGACACATCCAGTCCCGATGGGAAGCGTCAGAAGCATCCGCACACACCCGACAGCCCGCCCCTAACGCCCACCACACCGTTGGCCCAGTCTATCGGCTCCGGTATGTTTGGCTACGGTATCACTCCATCGCCGCCTCGATTCGTATCGCTCGAAGAGATTATGAAAGCGGCGAATGGGGTCGAGAATATGGTTTTGGCGCATGAGATCGCCGTCGACAACAACTTCAAACTCGAAAAAGTGAATCCACCGGACAATAGGTGTGTATTATTGAAAGTTGATGTCCTGTTCAGCGATTGATTTCTGTATTTGCGCTAAAGTCTTGAGCAGAAAGTGAAGGAAGTGGTGCACAAAGCGTTTTGGGATATATTGGAGTCACAGCTGAATGAGTCGCCAACTAATTACAAACAGGCGATGGCTTTACTCAAAGAGATCAAAGAGAACTTATTGTCACTCCTTTTGCCACAACACACACGCCTTCAGCAGGAGATCGAAGAGATACTTGATTTGGATCTAATCCTACAACAGGCCGATAACGGGATACTAGACTTTCAGCGGTACGCGCAGTACATACTGTCCGTTTGCGCCCGACTCTGCGCTCCCGTCAGGGATGAGAAGATTCGTGAGTTGACCCAAACCGATGATGTCGTCCCACTCTTCAGGTAAATGTCATATAAATTAAAGTTATAATGGATTTGAATGAATGGATTGTTTGTATACTTTTGCAGAGGGATTATGGAACTGTTGGATGTGATGAAGTTAGATATGGCTAACTTTCATATACAACAGATGCGACCACACATTCAACTCAAATCCATTGAATACGAGCGCAAAAAGTTTAAAGAGTTTCTCGACAGTCAATCAAGTAATCAATTGTTGTGTTTTGTTTCGCTCTGTTTGTTGTGTTTTTAATTTGTATGGCATTTGTCATTATGTTGTCAGAGCTGTCAGCAGTCGATGGACTCGAGTACACAAAGACATGGCTTAAGAGGAACTACGAGTCGATTGACGTGTCCAACGAAACCAATTGCAAAATCATTACGAATAAGATTCTGGTGAACGCATACTTAGAGCTATTGGTTTGGGATAATGGCG